GCAAAAAATATCGTTGACACAGAGGATCTAGGGAAATTGGATTTTATTTGAATATGTTAATTATCAATTAACCAATGCCGGACAATATGTTGCTAATCTGTTTGTGTCATCGCTTTTATAAACATTTGGCAAAAGAGCCAGCAACCCCAAAGATACATCGCCTACAAATGGAAATCTAAGGCAACATACACAAGACAACACCGTGTTAACTGCATGGCATGCCACGAAAAGGCAAAATAAAATTCTCTTTTTATTAAATTAATAAATATGTACGAGTGTCGTTTACAAAAAATATTTCACTCATTTAAAAGCCCGCTTGTCAGATCAATTTTTAAATGTCTGTAACAATTACAAGTGAAATTCATCTAGCGATCTAGACAGGACAGAGCGACAGATAATCCGACTGACCTTGTAAGAAACAGAGCGTGCATAATGCAATAGACAGCTCGTCGAGACAGCTCGCCGAGAACTGTAGTGTTTTGTTTGCACGCAATAATTACCAGTTTATGTGTATGATGCCGTGCTACGAGAATATATTGATATTGCGTGTTAGAACAAATAATATTGCAACAGAATCTTATGAATTGGCATCTTTTAAAATAATGCATTTTGTGGCATGTGCTTGTTCAACTGTTTTTTAGTTGTATTGCTTTTTCAAGTGGCATTTGACACATGGTCACAATGCTACAAAGTTGACCACAGTATCACGTCAGCGGACACATTGAAAATCTCGTTCACAACTCTCTAATGCTTCTAATGCTCCATCCTTATGAGCAAATATGAAAAAAAATCAACCATGCATGTAATACAGAGTTGAGATTATACATCAAATCTGCGTACAACATTTTACTATTTATTATACGTAGAACGCGTGGCCCTTTTTATGCTACAGTAAAATAGGGCCGTATATTAGTATACGACAACTTGTCAAATACGGAAATAAGTTTTCACTAATAATAATGAAACCAGGGTAATTTCACTGTTTCTTTAAATCTATGTAGTTTTCTTTATATTTCTTGTTACTACGGGCCCGTGTGTTATTTATTATGGTAACCCGTATTTGTGACGTCATGAAACAGTTTTGGTCTCATGATCGACGCCTGTCGAGACGCGCTACACTGATTGGTGCGTCCCGGGATATCACGCCACTCGGCGCGCAAGAGAAGAAGGTGCAGGACACAGACAAAGATGACAGCAGCCGAAAACGGGATTGTGTTGGAACCGTGAACACGAACGTGTACTGGAAAGCACCAAGTCAGCGTACGAAAAGCTTGGAAAGAACTGAGTTCAGGGTGTTGCAGCCCACGGACGAGTTTATGTTATTCCCGTACTGCGAAGAAACCAAAGTGACTGTCGAACTTGCGTTGCACCAAATTTGTGGACGTACAGCGTTGGACTGTGTCGTCGATGACCGAATTGATGCGACTCGGGAACTGATCGATGAGCGGTGAGTGATCTTTTGCAACGTACAGCTCAGGGAACTTGACGTACATCAGATCGAGGAGCCTAGAATCATCAGGAGGAGTTGTGATTTCCTGAGAGTGACCGTGTTCTCTGGCGACGCCATTGCGTCATCGCTGATTATACTTGCCTCGTGGTCAGCGAATTTACTGTACAGAACTGTATAGAACTGTGTGAACTGGTTGGCGATTTCGTTGACATGAGTATATTATTGTGTTATGTATCATTTTATGAGAACTGAAGATAGCGGTAAGGCTATTGTGTTCTCACTGTAAAATTTCTGTAAAGCACGCATTTTGTAATTTCGGAAATTGCCGTTGTACTTTGACATGTTGTTGCCATGGCGTTTCTATATTGAGTGAATTACTAGTTCAAACATTAAATCTGTTTACTTTACATTTGTATTTATTTTTATTTGACAAGTCAGTTGTTCGTTCCCCCAGGCGGTATAAATGCCTGTATGCTCCTCACCACGCCAAATTAGCTAGCCTGAGATTCGAATACGATTTATGAAATTGGGAGATTCGCACCGGAGCTCAAGTCCGGTTATCCACGTCCTCCATTGTGTGTAAAACGAAATATCTCGCGGTGGACTTGGTGCGAGAAATACCCGAGTTTCATTAACAAAAAAAAAAAAAACGTTTTACCAATATTACCTGTGATGGCGCATTTCATAACATGTGGGTTCCTCTGTGGTGACCTTTAACCCCACCTGCCATCTTTTCATCTTTTGTGTGTTCCTAGGTGAGTGATTTCTGTCATCCTTATCAAGTTTTATCAAGATAGTAATCCTTTAACATCCCACTTGTTGAACTACTTGTACGAGTCGATAATGTGTTACTCTTTGTTGATATATAAATATTTTGGAAGTTTATGATCATTCTATTGTACCTTTTGAGATCGATAAAAATTGTTGATGATCGTCCCATTGCTATATACAGGCTGT